ACTGCATTCTGGCTCAAAATTATTCATTCAAACTCATCTTATACTACTCTCTTTTATGTAGTTTATATTTCTGTCAAACTAGACAACTCTATCTCCCCCTCTCAGCCTGCCTCTCCTTTGGCTGTGCCTCTGTTCCCACCATCTTCCATGCCTGGAGTAGACTTCCTCATCACCTCCTCCTCTCTCAACTCTGAATGAAAGCCTCCTTTCTTCCAAAGCCCTCTTTTGGTACCATCTTCTCCATGAATCCTCTCTCACCCTCTCCTCTCTCCCTCTTACACTTTCCCTACTGTCCCAGGATGAAAATTTTCTCTTCTTCCTTATACTCTCAGAGCATTTCACTGGGACCTCTCTGCTAAATGACCACACTTTCCCTTGTATCACAACTATCGGTGTATTTGTCCTCTTCCTTCTACCATTAGATGATCAGTCTCCTTAGACAGAAGGGCTTGTGTTGTATCTATCTTTCTGTTCACAACAACAAGAGTGTTCCTTCAACACAATAAACTCTTTATATACGACTATTGTGTTAAAGGAAAGTGTTTTCCAATGACCCTCACCATCTTGGGGCTCCCTTGGATCATCTCAGACCTGTGCACTTGGCATAGAGACAAGATGTTTGGGTTACAATCCCAGTTCTGTTTCTGGTGTTCTCTCTCTCTCTCTCTGTCTCTCTGTCTCTCTGTCTCTGTCTCTCTCTCTCTCTCTCTCTCTCTCTCTCTCTCTCTCTCTCTCTCTCTGTCTCTCTCTCTCTTCTCTCTGTCTCTCTCTGTCTCTCTCTGTCTCTCTCTCTGTCTCTCTGTCTCTCTGTCTCCCTCTCTGTCTGTGTCTGTCTGTCTCTCTCTCTTTCTCTCTCACTTCAGCTTCTTCTTCTTCTCCACTATGGAGCCTTTACCTTCTCACTGAGACTTGGGAGACAAAGAGATCTCATCTGTAATGTGTCTCAAAAGGGACTACAGTGTAGCCTCAATGCACTGAGAGGGAGAAAAACTTACCAAGGGTTATACAGCATTCTCTAAAGAATTCAGAACCTGTAATTCTCAATTTTTCACGTAATGGGCTTTCCCTTTGGCCAGAGCTGCTCCCTAGACAGCAGGGTGATTATTAAATCATGGGAGGTAATTTTTCTCGTCAAATAAAAGATTACAACAACAGATTCTCATGTAAAAAAAAGTGATTCAACTAATAAGAATCCAAAGATGATGAGCCAAAACTCAGACTCACGATCAGACACACGATCTCTCTCTGAGCGCCTCTGGGTCTCCTGCCCTTTCAACTCACCCCACACAGTGCAGGCTGCACAGTTGATATGACCGGGGACCTCCCCAGGCCAAAAGACATGGAAGGTTGTAGATTTTTTTTTCCTAATGAAATATGACTGCTGAGATTATTAGCATCTTGGCTGCTTTGCAGTACATATAGATGTATTTTTGAGATGCCAGACAACATTTCATTCCCAGGAACTAACTGCCCATAAAATTTTATTTTTTTTTAAAAAAATTCTACTATTTCCCAGCTACAGTTCTGGCAAGGAGTCTATCGGAAACTGAGCCGAGGATTATTACTATTTTTTTAAAACACAGATCAAATGCCAGAGGGATTCTGGCATTTTGAAATTTAACATTTTGGCCATACCTGATTAACCCTTTCCAATCTGCAACAGCCAAGGGTCCAAGGAAAACTGAAGAGCTGCAGAAATGGTTGTATTCTGCTTTAGGGCTTACTAAATGATTTCTACACATATACCATTTGGCTTGATCTTCATAAAATTCTGTTTGATGACCAGGCCCACTTTATGGATGAGGAAACTGAGGCTCACAGGGGGAAAGTGATTTGCCCATAGACATTTGGTTGGTTTCTTCATTTTGTAAAATGTGGGGAGATACACTAGGTGATTTCTAATGTCCCTGAGAGGCTATGTGGTGTAAGAGGAAATAGCAATTTGAAGTCATAGTACCAAGGTTCAAAGGCCACCCTTGCCACTTAATATCCATGTGACCTTGGGCAAATCACTTATTCCCTCTGGGTCCTAACTTCCTCAACTATAAAATGAAGAGGTTGGATGAGATGGCCTATAAGGTCCCTTCCAGCTCTATATCCACAATCCTGATTCTGGCTCTAAGGTCGTTTGTTTTTTTTTAATTCTGCTTTTTAACGGTGAAATCAGAATGCAAACCCAGTACGCCTGCAGGTTTGGGAGGGTGGGAATAGGGAGACCCATAAGATTCACTTGCCAAGCTTAGAAGGGATCATATTTGCCAGAAAACTGACTGTCTGATCCCAGCAATCACATCCTTGGGAAGACAAGGATCATCAAAGCATTGACTGAATGCTTTTCTGAGAAAATATCTTTCCAGTGCCAAGATCTAGCCAAGATCTGCTCTCATCTGATGAGGTGGGGGAGGGGAGGTTTACAGATGCTATGTGACTTTAAATAAGTCTGGTCTTAAATAGGCCACCAGTCCAGGCAGTTGTGAATGTACAAAGCACAGTGAGTTTATGGAGGGTGGCAAGGAAAATGAGAGTGGCCAAGACGACTCTCTGAAGACTCCAGGACCTCCTAGACCCTCAGGAATGTCTTCATAAAGGGACAAAGAGGGAAGGGAATGTCTGAGTGAGCCACTACATGCACATGACAGAGAAGGGCATGCTCCTGGAGAGGCCAAGCCCTGAGGCCTCTTGGGGCAAGGCCCTGAGACCACTGCTTTAGAGGCCAGGCAACTGACAAACTGAGCAGCCAGAACTCAGATGTGGAAACACACAAGGCTATGGGAACATCTCCCTGGCTCCCCTCTCTTGGTGCTCCGTCATCAACGGCAGAACTTTCAGATCTGCCTCCAGCCTCCCCCTCCTCTTCTCACGTGCCCTCTAGGCTCTAGTCAAGCCTGCCAGCTCTGCTCTCCTCTCAGACATCGTATGGGAAGCCCTGCCTGGATCACCCTACCCTCTCTTTTTCTACCTACATAACTCCTATTTCCAGCTGTCAGTGGAAACTCAAGGAGAGCAGGATGCTTTCATTTTTGCCCATCTATCCCCAATGCCTAGATCACAGTAGGTACTTAATGAATGCTTGCTGATTAATTGTGGATCTATTAAGATCCCATTAAAGTCTTCCCACCATCTTCTCTAAGCTCCTGCATAGAATCTGATGTTGACATTGCCTCAGTCACAGACTCTCAAAGCTGAAAGGAACCTTTGAGGTCATGTAATCTAATGAATAGGGCGGCTAGATAGAGTGCTGGGTCTGGAGTCAGGAAGACTCATCTTCCTCAGTTCATATCTGGCCTCAGGTACTTCTTGGGCAAGTCACTTAACCCTGTTTGCCTCAGTTTCCTCATCTGTAAAATGAGCTGGAGAAGGAAATGGCAAACCACTTCAGAATCTTTGCCAAGAAAATCCCCAGTGGGGTCATGAAGAGTCAGATACGACTGAAATGCCCCAAAACAACAAAGTCTAATTAATACCTTAACAGGAAGCTCTTCTCCAACACCTTTAGAATGGACACTTAAAATTTGGTGGGCATTCAGAGAAGGCTCATCAGGGTACTGAGAGGACTGGAGGCCATGCCAGAGAAAAAGATCAGTCTAAAGAATGTTTAGTCTGGAGAAGAGAATACTTGGGGCAAGGTGAGGGGTGTAGAGAGAGACATGACCACTGTCTTCAAGGACTGAAGTTTTGCTTTTCCCCCAGAGAGTAGAAGTAGAGACAATAGGCAGAAAGTACAGAGAGGTATATTTAGGCTCAGAGTAAAGAAAAACCCCGTAAGAATTAGAGCTATCCAAAAGTGGAATGGTCTGCTTTGGAAGATTGGTTTTGGAAGTCTCCAAGTGAATGGTAGATGGCTCCTTGTCAGGGATTTCTGCAAAGGCAATTCCTCTAAAACTACAGGTTGGACTAGTTGGTTTCTAAGATTCCTTTGACCACTGAGATTCTGTGATTATATGACATTTCCAATAGGAATTGTCTGAAGAGTATCCCCTTCAGCCTCTGCTAATGGCTGTTTGCACAACTCCCTCCCACCACCAGTTCTATAAAGAAGTAGGTCTTCACAAACAACTGGAATTTAACCCTAACCCTAACCCATTGCTCCCAGTTCTAAACCCAAGGGGCCAAGAGAGTTATCTAGGTCTGATCTCTGTCTCCCAAGAGAGCCCTTTCAAATAACAGGACAGTAATAACATTCCCGCCTCTATCCTCTCTTTTTTTTGTTCCCTAATTACATTGCCGTGTTTTGCTGCTCTTTCTGTGTGGTGGTGCTGGTGGTGGCAGTAGGGAGGGTGGTGGGAGCACGAGGCTCTAATTCCCACATCTTTGTGAGATGAAGAGCAAAATATAGCCAGTGACAATTTGGAAGCCAGACAAAAAAGACTCTGGGACTATAGTTTTCTGAAGCCTCTAGACAATATGGTATAATGGATAGAGTACTGAACTTGGAGCCAAGAGAAGATTGGGGTTACAATCCCAGCTCAAATACCAACTAACTGTGGGACTCTGGGTGAGTTATTTTGCCTCTCTGGGCCTTACTCTCCTCATCTGTAAAATGAGGAGCTTGGGCTGGATAATCTCCAAGGTCTCTTCCAGTTCTTTTTTTTTTTTTTTTGGTGAGACAATCCAGGTTAAATGACTTGCCCAGGTTTACATAGCTAGTAAGTGTCAAACACCTGAGGCTGGATTTGAACTCAGGTCCTCCTGACTTCTTCCAGTCCTAAATTGATAATTCTATGAGCCTATCCACAAGGCCAACTCACTCCCTTTCCTTAAGACACTGTTGGATCAAAGTCTTTGACTAGTATCCTGTTGTAACCGGGAGAAAGCAAAGTACACTACGACGGCAGAATGTCAGCCTATAAACTATGCCAAGAGAGTTCAAATGCCCTCTTGGATCTCTTGGATTTACGTCAGTTGTTCCCACTCCAGCGCAGCCAGAAAGAGGGAAAGAGACACATGCAGACGTATGGAGAAGTGATAAGGAAACAGGCAGCTTGGTTGTGCTGACTCACCCGGACACCTGTGACGCCAGGATAGCCAGGGGGACCTTCTTTGCCCTTCAGGCCTTCTTTGCCTTTCTCTCCTCGCTCACCATCTGGGCCTGGCTCACCCTTGTCTCCCTGGGAAAGGAAAGAGGCATCAGCTTACCCAAGCCATTGCAATGTGGGGATATTGCCACAATGCGGGGGGGGGAGTTAGGTGCCCTACGACCCATGATTTCACGATCTGTTCTCAAAACAAAAACAGAGTCATATGGAATTACAGCAGCCATGTCAGCCGAGAGAAAGAGTAATGAGGACAATTATTTTTAAATGCCCTTGGCCAGTCAGAGGGAGCTGTCCAGCTGGGGTATGAGGACATTGAAGGAGTGGGAGGGGGGAAGAATCTTCAAACACTACTCTCCTGCACTTGTCCCATGGACCTAATGGCTTCCTCCCAGACAGAATGAGATCAGTTTTGAGTGGGGCCAAGGTTTAAAATTAACTCCTGACCATCCTCCCCATTTTAAATGTATCTTAGCTCATTTATGAGTGTGTTCTGATTTCTGATGACCCAAAGATGTGGGAGAGGTAAAGCATGCTCTGTCAGACCATAGAGGTAGGTTGCTTTATGCCTAGATCAGTCAAAGACTCTTCTTTGGCACCCCCCCCAAACCAGGCCACCCTCAAATATCAGGTATAGTCTAACCCACAGCAATGATATGAGTAATATGGATCCCCATGCCAAAGAACAATCCCACGGGCAGTTGGGAGCCCTTTCCATTACCATTGGGCGTATTTATCCCAAATAGAGGGTGACAGGCCTGCCACTAAGATATGACATGTGGTCTGACAACTGGAGACTGGCTTAGAGAGAACTAAGAGGAGATGGCATGAGATGGCATGAAGTCATGGCAGTTTAAGGAAAGGACAGTGTCTGGCTGATGATCTGAGGTGTAGTGGTGGGGAGAATGATCCTTCTTGGTCGGTTTAGAGTTTCTTCATCTGTGGCAGGAAGGAGAAAAGGGAGTAAGGGGGACTACATGATGCCTAAGATTTCTTCCAGCTCTAGTAATGTGTGAACTTCTGAGGGCAGCCCTGAATGCCCACTGTGAATGGCCCAAATAGCCTTCCTTCCTAGATGCAGAGCTCCCTATACTTCCTCTCTTCAGATAAGATCTGGGTTTCAGCCTGTAAATGGAGAGTAGTAAATGCTTAGATGGTTTACACAGGGCTTGAATTCATGATCTTGGACTCATTAACGTTACTGAAGCTAAAAGACCAGGAAAACAATTTATACAGTAACAACAATATTGTAAAGACAAACAGTTTTGAAAGACTTTGGAACTCTGATCAATTCAGTTATCAACAAAGGTTCAAAAGGACACGTGATAAACCATGATACTCACCTCCTAACAGGGAGCTGACTGACTCAGTATGCAGAATGACACCTATGTTTTTAAATATGGCCAACAGGAGAATTTGCTTTACTTGACTATGCATATTTGTTACAAAGGTTTTGTTCTTTTTCTCTTTTAAATTGAGAGGATGGGTGGACGGAACAGAAAATAGATGCTTATTAAATGAATATAAATTAAAATTTTTTTAAAGGAACCCCACCACCACCAAAAAAAATTACTGAAGCTCACTGGCCCCCCGACATAATTGCGACAAAAGTGTGGATGATCAGGAGACCATATGAGCTGAAAGCTAAGCTGGGGACACTACCTAGGAAAACTGAGAAAATGAAGAAAGACTATGACCCAAGAGGCAAGAGAACAACTATTCTCATCCCGGATTGTGGTGGAATGAAAGGATAGGATGTTAGGCCAAAAAGTTGGATTAAGGAACTACACCAAGTGGAAAGAGGCATGGCACAGTGACTGAAAGAATGCTGGACTTCTAGACAGGAGACCTGGCTTCAAATCTCTATGTAACATTTCCTATATGTAAGGCTAGATAAACTGCTTTGCCTCTCTGTGCCTCAGTTTCCCCATCTGTAAAATGGAGGTACTATTTTCACTACACAGCTCATAGGAAAGCACTTTGTAAGCCATAAAGCCCTAATTGAAATATCTGTTATTACTTAGGGGAGAACTCTGAGGATTAGGCTAATTGAAAGGGAATTGCTGCTCAACTAATGATGTGTGATGAGAGATTGGGGCCCAGTGGAGGCACTGTCCATGGAGAAGAAATTCTGACTGATAGAAAACTCTCCAGGCTGACATTTAAATCATCGGATGCTGACGTGAAAATATAATGCAACCATATTACAAAAGATTTGCATAAATCCCACCTTCAATTTCACTGATAGTATTGTTGCGACCTTTCTGGGGTGATGAGTTGGCAAAAGTATTATGATTATCAGAGGAGAAAATGGGAACCCAGAAAGAGTTGGCAGTGTTTCCAAGGACACACTTCTATCAGCAGCTTTGGAGCTGGTACTTGAAACTCAAATGAAACTCAGTCCCACCAGGCTACCCAGCCTGCCAGAGCAAGATTTAGTATTTTTCAAAGAAATATCAGCCAATGGAAGTCAGTAGGGTTCCCAGGACAGACACCTGAAGAATGAGGTTGGTGGGCTCAGCTGCAATAGTACTCCCTGGGCCCTTGGGGCTTGCTGGAGGCCTGAAATGCCTGGAACTGAGAGAGTGGGGCCAGGGCTCTGGAACGCCAGGATTCCAACCTGAGACTGGGAGCCAGGAAATTTCATGATTGATTCCTGCCTGGGGGATTTCTGGAATGCAGCAGGGCGGGGGAGAAGGCAAAGGGAGGGATGCATGGCTGCTTTCTTCTTTTATGCTCCCAAAATTCCAGGTCAGAGGATGCCATGCAGAGCTTCTCCCAGAGTTGGAAGAGGGGAGGCTAAGAGACCCTCGTATGAAAAGAAAGACAGAGGGAGGCTGGAATGTTAGCCCTGCAGGAGGAGAGGACTTGACATCTCCTGGCCAGTCAGAAAACATTCAAGCCAAAGGGGATGGGGGAGACCAGAAATCTTAGGTGTCACTTAGGAATCTTGGGAGCATGAATGAAATTTCTGGAAAGCCAGAAAGACACATCAGGAGTGTTCTGCTCAATCCTATAAGGCTCAGGAACAGACCAAAGGTATACAGTCACCAAAGACCTATTATTCATCTGCAGAAAAAGAAGAGTTAGCAGGATGGACTCAATTAGGAGTTAGGAGACTTGGGTGAGAATCCCAGTTCTGCTCTCACTACCACATGACCTTGGGCAAATTCCTTAACCTTTCTGAGCCTCAGTTTTCCCTCGTGTAAAATGCAGAAAGTGGGACTAGTTGAGCTAAGTTTCTTTCTAGTTCAAAGTCCTAGGACCCAGTTAGTAGTCTTCAGGAAGAATGAAGATAAGAGGACACAGAAGGGTACTGAATGAGCAAGGACAACTTCACTGCAGTGGACGAAACAGAAAGCTACAGAAAGAAAGGAGACCAAGGCTGTTGACCAAGTCTAGAAGAGGGATTGCCCTATTTGTAGCTTCAGATTCCTAAGCAGAAAGGCAGACTCCAGTTCCAGGAGACTAGACACAGAGGATTCATCTAAAAACGTCTGGGTATTTGCTTATGATCTGAAAATAACTTGATGTGGTTTTGAAAATCTAGTGCACGCAGAACAGATGTGGGCTTGTTCATGCTCCTCTGTTGGGCGTAGAGAAGATGCTCCCTCCCATTCTACAACTGGAAAAGAGTTGGCTGAACTATGGTGAAAGACTGAGGGAAATGGATCCCATTTGGACCTCAGTATCCTACACTGGAACTCCCCCTCCCCTTCATATCTCAAGAGCAGGCCAGTTGTTGGCCACTGGTTTTTGGTTAATGCGGCCAAAGAGGAGGACGAGGAGGAGAAGGGTGGGAGGAGCCAGTGAGCACCTGCCAGAAACAGCTGTCTAACCACCATGATACTGAGATGACTCTCTTCTTTCTGCCACAAGAAGGGAGGAAGGATTTTCATTCTCCTTTATCTCACCTTGAAGAAGGAGATGGCATTCCCAGAGTTTGGAGAAGGCAAAAAGTAAGAATTGAGGCAGTAAGATGTTACTGTAGTTGAAGTCAGAAGATCTTTAAATGCCAACTCAGCTGCTTACTACTTGTGTAACTATTGGGAAGGCACTCAACCTTCTCTGTGCCTCAGTTTCCTTTTACGTAAAAATGAAGGGGTTGGGTTAGATGATCTCTAATGTTCCTCCCAGCAATAAGTCCTCATGCCCTGTAATACCATAGGAGAAAAACTGAAGTTTATTGAATCTGCTTCTGGTGGCAGGGAGCCCATGAGGAAAGGGTCCATATGTCCTAGAAGATTAATTCAAGGGACATCCCCTCCTCCCAAAACCCATTTCACCATATACCTTCAGACCGTCAGGTCCAGCTGGGCCACTATCTCCCTCCAGCCCTGTCTCTCCCTGTGGGAATAAGAATAATTATGACAGGTTACACCCATGTGGTACTTATAATTATACATATTATCTCATTTGTTCTGAACAACTCTACAAAGTAGATACTGTAAGCATTATTATCCCCACTTTACAGAGGAGCAAACTAAGGCTCTTGAGAGATGAAATGACTTGCCCATACCAGTGGCAGAGCCAGGCCTTGAACTCAGAATCTTGTGACCCTAGTCTACTGTTCAGGCCACTAACCCATTCCTAGAAATAGAAGAGGCTGTGTTAGGGAGAATACATCTCCTTCTTCTGTAAGGTCATCTTCTCCACCTCTAGTTCTGCCCCAAGACATATTCCCTGGGGAAGGATGCCTCCTCCCCATTGCCACCCATACTTCCTCAGGGACCAAAAGCTGGTCTATCAACCAGCTTTAGGCTCATTTATCCAGCCACTGGAGAATGACCTCAATAAGTAAACCCTTCAGATTGCTCAGGGAGTCACTGGTAGAATGCAGAAATGGATTCCCCTGAATCTAACTAGAAGTTTAGGACTCAGCCTGAAAGATCACGCTCTTGCCAGGAACTCTAGGCAAATCATTTCCCCTCTGTGGGCCTTGGTTTCCACTTCTCCAAAATGAGGCTGTTGGATTAGATGACCTTGAAGGGTCATCAAAACCCCTTCTCCCCTTTTTGTTTTTGGGCAGAAGGGAAGACAGGACCCATGAAATGGTAGAGGGAACTCTGAGTAAGGAAACATCTTCTACCAATGCAGACTAACAGCTGCTTGGCAACTGAGAGCTTTAGGGACTTATGTGGAGACACTAAGAGGGCGTACAGTGACTCATCCAGGGTCATACAGCCTATCCATGTCAGAGTCAATACTTGAACCCAGGTCTTGCTGACTCCAGGGTTGGCTTTCAAAGCTGTGCTAGTAAATGTTTAACAACTGACTCCCTCCCAAAAAATATATGTCCAACACACTTTAAAATTTAATCTGGCTTATTAATATTTTCTCTATCCTACTTTCTTAAGTCCAGGTAATCAGAAGAATAATAAATCACAGTCTAATTTGTAGCATTTGCCAATTTTTAACATGTAAATGCTCATATTGAAAATTTAACAACCAGAAAGCCAGTACGAGTTGGTCCTGTCACGCACCTGCACCTCTGGTCACTGACATGTCCCACCCAGCTTTAAGAGCATATGCCTTGTTTATGCCTTTCCTCAATGTAACTGTCTGGAGACACAGATCCCAAAGCTACTAGTAAAGGAAACTGGCTTCCCTCTCCACCTCTGGAACTCTCTTCCCTCTTACCCTCTCTTCACCCTTTCATTAATTTCTCTGCTCAGAGTGAAAAATGAATCCGTTAATAAGCACTTTGTTTCTCCAGTAGTCTTTTGAGAAGTTAAAAAAACCCAACCCATACAACAAACACCCAACCATGCAAAGGCATTTAACATACTGTACTGTACAGTCACCCATCAGCCCCACTGAGCATGACTACTTTCTTTGTTCACTTGCTTAATTCAAACACACTCTCTTCTGCTCCCATGCATGGGAACTCCTTTGTGAAAGTAAATGCCAGTGTCCCCTAGGCTGGGACCCAATCTTAGTTGATGTCTCTGACTTTGACGGGGAGCATCACCACCTGCTGTGGCTACATTCATGCAGCCTGGGTTTGAAGAGTTTGGGCCCTTAGTCAGGATAGATTAAAATCAGCCATGCTAAATTAGTTTGAGCCGGTAGCAGCCCAAGGATCGACAGGAAGCTTTAAGAGGCACTGAAAGACCTGGTTCTTGCTCTTTGAAGGGCCCAATATTACTATGGAACCTAGAAACATTCAATGAACAGAAAATTACAGTCCAAATCTTCCTTATGTAAAACCAGAATGATTGTTTTTTTCTTTGTGGGATCAGCAAGAAGAGGAATGATTTAGAAGAGAGCCACAGAACATCAGGGCTGAAAGTCACCTTAGAGATGGTCTAGTGTAACTGTCTCTTTTTACTGAGGGGGACCTGGGTTCTAGAGGAGGTACAATCTCCTCTAGATTTCAGGTCACACAGCTGGATGGGAGCAGAGCCAAGTCTTCTGATGACTGTTCTACTGACCTTTAGACTACACAATACTGCCCTGGGGATAAGAAGGAAATTGGCTTCTACTCACCCGCTGACCAACCAGACCTTGCTCTCCAGGGATGCCCAAAGGTCCAAAATCGCCCTATGAAACCCAAACACATGGTTCAGTGTCATGGAGAGAAACTCATCAAAGTCATATCATCTATACCATCATTCCCTTCCTCCTGCCCCACTAGCCTTGAGTCTCCCACATTTTCCAGTGGTCAGATTAATCCTTGCTCCATTTTTTATACCAAAGAGGGACTGGGAGTCCTGGGTACTCCTCTTCATTTATTAAGTGCTTACTACGAGCCGGGAACCATGGATACAGACAAAAATGAAAACATTTCTTCCCTCAATGAGCTTCCATTTGATTGGCACAGACAATGTGCTTACATTTAAGTACTTTATAAGATAAATATATGGTAACATTTTGGGGGAACCATTAGGATCTGGGGGAGATAAAGATCTCCTGAAGAAGGTAGTATTTGAATTGAAATTTGATGGAAACTAGAGATTCCAAGAGGTAGAGGTAAGGAGGAAGTAAAATCCAGGCATGAGGGACAGAGCCTACGCAAAGATTTAGAGGCAGGAGATGGAACTAAAGGCAAGTGAATCATTAGTGAGACAAAATTTTTTTTCCAGAATATGTACCAGCTAAACACCCAGCTCTGCACTGTGTCCTAAAAGACTCTCGCTACCTGCTCTTTCACTGACCTAGTGATGGTTCTATAGCTCAGTTGACCTTCCAAGGACCTCTTTGGGTAGACTGTAAGCTCCTTGAGGGGCTAGCTGTGGGCCAAGTCCAGAAAAGCAGTACAGAGATTCTTCTGTCATCTCTAATCAGAGTCAGGCCAATGAAATGACAGATCCAGTTCTTTGTTTCTCATGATCGGTGGTATTTGGTTTTCACTAAATGTGTCTTTAAAAAAAGTTCTCTTTGTAATTATTTTGGCTTATTGTTCTTATCTCTTGTTTCCTTTGGGGGTGGGGAGTGGGCAGAGAAAAATGTTCCTCTTGCCCATGGATCCAGATTACTCAAACTGAGGACAGTTTTAGAGAGGAAAACGTGGCAGTGACCTTTGCCACCTGGCAAAGAGTTCTCATGTGCATAGTTGCCTATTTGAGTTTTCTCGTGACAATTTTTATTTGTAAATCACAAAAATATATATTTTTTAAAAATTTGTTTTCAGTGAGCCACTGAACAACTTAAAGTCCTGCCCTAAAGTGTAACTCATTGACTATGAACGGAGTAACTGATAGCATTGATCACAGATTTGGAGCAGGAAGAAATCTTAGAAGCCATTAAGTCCAACCTCTCCATTTTACAGATGAAGAAACTGAGAGGTTAAGTGATTTGCCCAGGGCCACACAACTAAAACATATCTGAGGCAGGATGTGAACTTGTCTTCCATACTCCAAGCTCAGCACTCTGTCCACTGTGCCCCCAGGCTGGCTTTTCTTCGGCACATAATACTTTCACAAGACACTCAATCTACTCCCCTCTGGCTCCATTCCCATCCTTGAAACTTTTCAAGTCAAAGTCTTCCTCCCTGGTCTCCATCCCCCTCTGTGTGTTGTCTCCCCTACTAGAATGTAAGGGTTTGTCTTTGTATTTATGCCTCACTTTTTAGTATGATGCTCAGCATGTAATAGGTGCTTAATAATTTCTTTTTGTTCATTCATTCATTCATTCATTCACTCACTCACTCATCCATCATTTCATTTGAGCCACTTGGAGAAGACAAAATTAGAGGTAAGTTAAAGAACGAGGACCTGAGAGAGAGAATAATTGTGCAATGCTGCTGGTCAGGCAGGCTGGTTAACTGCACGTGGAATCCCATCTCTCCTCTCCCCACCCTCCAGCCTCCAATCCTGGTGATTCTCAGTGATGGAGGTCAGGCTCTTTCCTACCCATGGCCCCCATATCTCTTTCCATGCAAGTAAAATGAGATTTGAGGTGGGTTGAGAGAAGAAATGGCCCTTCTCCAGCCTGGGAGTCTTTGGGTCCTCATTCCTTGTATCCTTCAAAGCTCCCTCTGTTCTTGGGAGCTCACCACATGCTGATCTTCCTGTTTCCTATGTGTATACATTACAGGACCCAGCGCTAGAAGGGACCTGAGAGATCATTTAGTCCTTCATTTAGGGAAACTGAGGCCCAGAGAGGGTAAAGGGCTTGTCTAAGATCGTAGTATTCAACCCAGGCTTTGAGACACTAAATGTGGTGTTCTTCCCACTAAGCAATGCCACCTTTACTCCTTCCCCTCGGCACTCACTACTCTCATGTGTGCATAGCCTCTCCCAGGGTCCAGACCTCAACAATACCCTCACCCCGGGTCCAACATTCCTCATCAACTCCACAGGGGCTGTGAGGCACAAGTTTCTTTCTCAATTCAGGGGCCTTCCCCTGCCCCTCCTGTTGAGAGGCCCTCAGTAGCCTGGCTGAGCCAGGTGGATCAATAGAGGTTTGTTTCTCAGGCAGGTAATTAGGGGCACAGAGTAGAGAAGGAGGTAGGGGAGGCAGATCGGTGGGTACAGAGTTGAGATTCAGACTGAGCATCAAGGCCAGAAATGAGCTAGATGTATCAAAGGGTCAGTTAGCCAGAGCAAACATCAAAGAAGAGAGATACAGAAAAGTGTCTGACAGCCCAGCGAGGGCAAGCTGGATTGTACAGAGTCCCCTCTGGCCCAGGGCTACTCAGCTGGGTCAACAACAATGCTTCCTGTTTTCACTAGGTTGCTAAAAAAAGATAGAGATATTTCTTCTCCAGGGGGGTTTCTTAGCATCTCAACCCCATCCAAAACCTCAGCACATTGGTTTTGTAGGCTTTAGAGAAGGGAGGGACCTTAGGCTATCTAAAGCTTGAAAGGCTCTTGGAATAGACTGTAACCCATCTTTTGAGTCCTGCCAAAAGGCTTGGTCATGGAGCCAGGGGGACAGGGGCTGTTTGCGGGTGGACAGTTTTTTTGAACCCTTCCCCTTCTCCGCGCCCTCCCCCCCTCCCCTCCCAGTGTTCTCTAAGCTCCATGGAGGCATTGGATTTGATCTGGGGGCTGACTATCCAGAATGCTGCCAACTCTGACCTAAGATCAAGTTCAAAGTCCCCTGGGAACGCAAGGAATGTTTGGGCAGAGGGTGGGAAGGGGGGGAGGAAACTTGGCTTTGTGGTCAAGCCTCTTTTGGCGGGGGGTGGGGAAAGGAGCTCAAAAGGTGGGTTTCGGCAGACTATTAGCACATAGGAAATCAGAGCTGGGAGGAATATTAGACACCACTGGAGTGTGTTTGAATTAAGCAAGTGCACTGGGGCCATCATTTTACAGATGAGGGAATAGAAGCCTAAACAGGTAAAGGGATTTGCCTAAAGTCATATAACTAGTAAGTAGCAGAGATGAGATCTGAATTTGGGCTCTGTGGGGCCTGGGAGCTTTGAATAGGTTTGACTTACTCAAGTAAACCTGAGAAAAATTAAAATAAAAATCCAAACGTTGGAACACCCCCAAGTGGGCTCCCAGACATCCAGGGTTCAGAGGTGAACAGAAGAGCAGTAAAAGCTGGGGTTTCCAAATGGTGCCCCACCAGGCTCTGGTTGTTTCCCCAAGGCCTCTCTCCTACCTTCCAATTGAAGCTGCCTGAGAAAGTTGAGTGGCCCCTGGGGATGATTTCCTTGTTTGCTCTCTGGGGTTCCCAAGATCCCATTACCCTACTCATGGATAGGAGCCCCAGACTGAGGAAAAGCCCAGTCTCTCCTGTGGGGCCCCAGAGCAATCAACCCTGGAAGGCTGATCACAGCCGGTGACTCTTGGGAACTGTGGGGCCCCCTAGCACAGCCCAGATCCCTTTTCAAAAGGCATGTCCCAGGCATTACAGTCAGCCAGTGACAAAGACCTCTGTTCTCCTGGTCTTGGGGTGGGGGTAGGGGTCGGGAGGAAAGGCAGAGGAGACTAGACTATGGATTCTGCTTACCTTCATCCCGGCTTCACCTGGAAGGCCAGGCTCTCCCAAAGCACCAGGAGGTCCCTGAAAGAAAGCTTTGTTGTAACTGCCAGAGCTGACCAATAGATGCCAGCAGGCAGGGATGGAGAGAGGAAGCCTGGCCCTCCATGCCCCCTTGGGGAAGTATTTCTCTTTTACCTGCTTCAGCTCAATAGACAGGAATGGAGGGTAAATCTCAGAAAAGACAAAGAGGGGAGATGCTGTTCTCACTGAGATTGTGGTCTCCATTGGACAGTCAACTCTCTAGAACTGGGTTCTAGCCCTAGCTCTATTGTTGACTCACTGTGTGGTCCTTGGCAGGGCCCTAACCTTTCCCAGATCCTCTAGCAAAACTCACACTCACTCCCTTGGAGGTGGGGTGTGGGATGGGAAGATAAAGGAGATCCATGGATCCTGCAAAGTCCTTGGAGCTCTTAGGAAGAAGGTAGCCAAAGGGGACCATCAAACCAGCCAAAGCCACAGTTTGGAAGGCAGGATAAATAGACCTTGAAGGCAAACTGAGGGAGTGACTGACAGGTAGAAGAGGAAGAACACTGAACCTGGCCTCTTGTGCCCTGAAGACCCAGGGTGAGCCTCAGCTCCAGTGCCTCCTAGCTTTGTCACTTCCCCTTTCTCTGAGCCACAGTTTCCTCATCTGGAAGATGGGGGTAACCATATGTTCACTACTTACTTTAGAGGGTTGTTGTGAGTGGAGCACCCCCTTTGGGGCACGGAGCAAGTCTCCCGTAAAAACCTCAGAGTGTAGCAACAGAAATGGGAGACATTTGCCTTTAGTTGAGGAGCTATTCCCCCTGCCCCCTTCTCCTCAATCTAGCCCCTAGGCCTGGTTGTTAGATCAGAGAAAGATCAGCCTCAACTATGAGGAGCTTCAAGGAGAGATCACTTTGCAAGCACCGTGACCTTCTCCACAGCAGGCATCAGGCTTTCTGAAGGGGGTCCCACAGAAGGGGACTGTATTCAGGGGTATCAGAACCACAAAAGGACTGGTGGTTCTTTACCTGAGTGAGCCCCAAGGCTCTTCTCCCTTCCTGGAGGTTGGGAGGCATGGGCTGAGTCACTGGGGGTCAGGGGTGATACTCCCCACTGTGATAACACAAAAGGCCTTCTAGGCATCAGGGGATAGGAAGGAAGGCCCATGCCAGGCCGTAGGTGATGGGAGTTTCAGATCAGTACTTCCCGGCCGAGCCCAGAAGCTGCTTGGAGGCAGGCTGGGAGCTGAGCTCCCCATTCGTGCGGTTTACCACATTAAGAGCTTTTTGGCAGGCCTGGGATGGAAAATCTTGTGATTCATACAACTATAAGGGGGAGGGGGACGGCAGGAATCGCCTGATAGCTGAGCTTTTAGCTGAATGAGTACATCCATTCTCTTTGAGGCCAAGCAAAAAGACGACAGACAACTAACCCCAAGGGATGGGAGCTCTGCTTTGGGGGGGGGGCTGGAGTGTGTTGGAAAGGACCCTAAGTTCTGTGAATCTCAGTCAGTTCCCTGTCTTATTGCCAGACTTCTATACTGCAGTAAAGTCCCCATAAGTCAAATAAGGAGGGAAATGTCTTCTCCCATTTTCGGTGGAGGAGAGGCATTGAATGGTGATAGGATCACAAGATCTAAAGTTAGAATGGACCTTAGGGAGCATATGTCCCACCCACTTGTTTCACAGATGAAGAAACTAAGGTCCAGAAAGTTTAAGTGGCTTGCCCTAAATTACAGAATTAGAATTTAAATTCAAGTCTTCTAAATCCTGTCCTCATTGCACAAGGTTAGGTTCCTGGTTAGGTAAAGCCAGGAAATAGATCCAGGAGTCCTCATCTCATTCCCTGAACCCATCTTTTCTCCCATTTTGAGGGTAGACTGCTATTTTGACACCACAGTAGTAAGGCATTGAAGCAGTTATCTTCTATAGTTCTCCAGCTGCTCTGGGTTCTAGTCCTGACTACCGCTGACTCACTGTGTAGATTCGAGCAAGTCCCTTAAACTTTCTGTGACCCTTCTGTAAAAGGGGGTGGGAGAATGGATCTAGTACATGGAAAAAAAGAAGCAGGTAGTGCAGAAAGAGGTCACAAAACTCCTCGTAGGCTACAATGGGACAGAGGAGAACGGAATTTCCTGCAGTTCACATTACTGGCCTCCAAACTCATGGTAAGCCCCTTCTGGGGATTCCCAAAGGCCTGGAAATGTGTAGTCATCCAGATTAGCTTTCCACAGAGGCAAAGCAGGCACCTACTAATTGGGCATCATTTCAGAGGGCAGGTCCACATGTCACTGGGGAGGCCCAGAAAGCTCCTCCACCCTCATCTCCCTGAAATTTCAGTGAGAGTGAGAGGCAGTAAGGTGTAGCAGAAAAAACACAGATGGTAAAAGTGGGATTTGAAATGGAAAGGAGGCCTGGGTCAGTGTCCTGACTCTGCTAGTTACTAACTGTGTGAATCTGAGTAGTATTCACTTAACCTATCTGACCCCTTTTCTTTATCTGCAAAATGATAATAATATCATAATTTCTTCTCCCTTATACTTACTTCACAGCATTATTGAACTGAATTAACGTATGTGAAAACATGGATACATTGAAGAGATTTTTTGTTCAGTCATTTCTCAGTCATGTCTGATTCTTTGTGACCCCATCTGGGGTTTTCTTGGCACAGATACTGGAGTGGTCTGCCACTTCCTTCTCCAGTTCAGTTTACAGATGAGGAAACTGAGGCCAACAGAGTTAAGTGACTTGGCCAGAGTCAAACGGCTAATAAATGTCTAAGGCCAGATTTGAACTCAGGAAGACTCATCTTCCTGATTCCAGGCCTGATGCTCGATTCACTGTGTCACCTACCTGCCCCATGAAAAGGATTACTATTAACTTAAAGTTTTGATCTCTGTTAGAATGCAAACATTTCTACGAGAAAGAAGATGGATCCATCTGTTAGCAGTCATTTGGACCTCATTAGTGAACAAGTTTATTAAAGCCTTCTTTTAAAATAAGTTTTCATAACGGGAGGAGGAAAAATCAGGAGCATCCACATGGGAGGCAGAATGAAGAATATGGAGGGTGGGGGCAACTTGTCAATACTTCGAGAGTGATCCCTGTTGAAAATACTTTCCTGTCACCTTGTACTTCTCTAAGAAACCAGGAGACCTTCTGTGAAGAGGCTTTGGCTGGGAGAAGGGCACGGAAAGAGAAGGTGACAACAAGGAGGTCCATTTATTTAAACACTTTACCTGTGGTCCAATCTCTCCCAATGGGCCAACCAGTCCCTGTGGTCCTTGAGGGCCCTAGAAGGACAGATGGACAAAAATCTCTTTAAGATGCTACTTTTCTCCTATGGAAAGTTCTCTTTCTAGCCAGCTCCAGTCAGACCTTGTAAGCAGTCAGAAGCTCCCAGCCAGGTCCTAGCCAAAGGCTAGGCTCCACCACTCGCCCAAAGAGCTGTCTCTGATTCTCTCAAGAGTCTTTGTTTCATTCCTCCCTCAACCATGGACTAAGGCCAACCTGTGCCCTCGCCTTGCGGAGCACGGGTAAAGCCTCTGGTCTGTGCAGACCTGGCCCACGAGCAGCTTCCAAACCACCAAAGCCTGGTCCCCGGACTTCCTCCAACTCCCTTCTTCCAGACTCCCACTGGAGTCCTCTTTCCACCACAGAGCTCAGAGCTCAGGCCAGCCACACAAATAGACTTCTTTCTTTTTTCCCCCCTGGACTAATCATTTGGGAAAATGAGGCAGTCCAGATTGGCTCTGCAAAACGGGTTAGAGAAGAGGGGCAGAAGAGATATTTAAGTGCTTCTAGGCCTGTGGCCTAATTTCCTTTGGGCCCTTCCCAGCTTCTTTGAGGCTATGACTATGATATTCTGACCTTCTCTCCTGTCTCTCCTTTTAAACCTAGTCCTCCTCACCTGACTCCATATTATCTCTTGAAGAAAGCAAAGATTCCATCCTATCTCTTTGGAGGGAGGAATCCTGTGTCACCCAAAACAATCCCTGTCCCTCCCTGCAGACAGCACTCTTGGTCTTTCCTACAGCATCCACACATTTCCTCTCCCCACATCTTTCAAGATTATGTATTATGTTGGCAGGACAGGAATCACTCCCTTACCCCATTGCCCACCCTCCCCACCACTGCATCCACTCTAGGACTGGCCAAGTTCCCTGGTCCTGCATGCTCCTATGAGCTTGAGGAAGAGTGAAAAAAAAAAAACTATGAAGGCAAGAGGAAGAGAATAGGGAAAGATACTTACCGGTTCTCCTGGAATGCCTTTAGCCCCTGGAGGGCCGGAAGGACCCGGGATTCCCTGCAGGGATCAGATCCTGGAGTTATTTTTGCTCTAGTCACCACCACCTTTCTCCTGCCTCCCACCCACCACCGTGGTCTCAGTCACTCTGGAGGAAAGTGACAGAGACGTGTCCTGGAACTGAATGAAACCAGAATAAGACTCACCAGCAAATACATCTTTGAAGTCATTCCTTCTGCTACCTCCTTCCCCCTTTCCCACGTGCTTATTTCATGAGAAGAAAAAGAAAGGCACCCATGTTTAACACTTACCGGGAAGCCACGAGGCCCCATCTCCCCTCTTTCGCCTTCCTGGCCCTAGAAACATATTTGGAGTAATTAGAGGCTGAGAATCAGGGTCCCAATTCCTCAAGCTCCTGTGTCAGAAAAGTCCATCAAAGGCATGTCTCGTAGTGAAGGGAGTGTGTGTCTAGTGGGGGGGAAGGGGATGGGAGATTGGCAGGGGGCCAGTCTGGCCCCATGCCCTTGGCTCCAGGGAAATTGCTGACATACCTGCTGTCCATCCAGGCCCTGTTTGCCCTGTGTTCCTGGAGGGCCCTGAGGAGGAGAGCAAATAACAGAGAGGCGGGCTTTGGCATTGCAAGGGGTCAGTTTGTGTTGATAGTTTTGGAGGGCCTTGCTCTTTGGAGCCACTGGACCAGGCATAGTTGCCTGGCTCAGAAGGCCTGGGGTCTGAGGTCGGGGAGAGGCCATTATTTCTCATCCCTCTCCATCCAAACCTTCTCTGGTAAGTGGACTGGATCTCGGAATTAGAGGCTGGAAGTGAAGTTAGAGTCCACCCCCTTCCTCTCACAGAGGAGGAAATTGAGGCTGGCAAAGGAGAAGAAACTTGCTCATGGATGTACTCCTAATCACAGGAAGAGCACCAAGCTGCCCACTGATCATTTTGTGCCCTTGCCCTCCACGCCCCCTCCCCAATCCCTACAGTCACCAAGGCCGTATGAGTATGTGAGAGTCTAACCCAGGGGTGGGGAAACCAGTGGCCTCGAGGCCACATGAGGCCTTCTAGGTCCTTGGGTGGGGCCTTTTGACTGAGTCCAAGTTTTACAGAACAAATCCTTTTATTAAGAGGATTTGTTCTGTGAAGTTTGGATTCGGTCAAAGGGCCGCACTTAAGGACCTAGAGGGCCACATGTGGCCTTGAGGCTCTAGGTTCCCCACCCCTGACTCCCCCGCACGGTCTTGCTGGAACTGGCCAAGTCTCTACTCATGGGGTTTTAGGGCAGTCTTGCCTATGGAAGAGGAGTGGAGATAAGGGTGGATAGGATAACTTTTTTCAACTTCCTTTCCAATCCAAGAATTCTGAAAGGGCTTTGTGTGTGTGTCCCTGGCCGGATCTGGAGCTCAGCTACTGCCCTGGACAGGAATACTGACTCTGCTTAGGGGGTGATCAGTGCAGAGGGATTTAACAGGACTCAGCTGCTGGAAAATCATGCTTCCATCCCCCTGAATCCAGCCAGGAAGGAGGGATAGTCTATCTCTGGGCAGGGAAGCATGCATTTTGGGGAGGGCACATACCTTGACACCTTGTGACCCTGGCTCCCCTGCTGGTCCATCTGGTCCTCGGGGCCCCTGAAGAGAGGATGGTCAGAAGAGCAGTGTGAACAGCAGGGGTCTCCCTTGGGCCATAAACAGGGGGAGGCCTGGAGCAGTGCTACCCGCCCCCAGCTTCCACCCCAACCCCACAACCTGGCCCCTACACTCCCTCCCAGCCCATACTTTCCCTGCTCCCTTCAACTCCCACTCCATGGCTTTTCCCAGAACAAGCATGGGGCCAGCTCTCTGGCCTTCTCTGCAAAGACACACAACAGTTCCTTCTCTCACAGTGTACATTCTAGGGGGGAAAATAATGTGTAATTATCTGGGTATGTGCAGATACATACAGAGTAGATGGAAGATCATCTGAAAGGGGAAGGTATAAGCATTTGGGGGGATCAGGAAAGGTCTCTTGCAGAAGATGGGCTTTGGGCTGAATCTCAAGGAAAATGAGGGAAGCTAGGGGACGAAGCTAAGGGGGCAGAGCATTCCATATATGGAGGACAGCCAATACAAAGGCGGAAAGGTTCCCAGGAGATGGAATGTCATGTTTGAAGAACTGAGAAATCAGCCAGTGTAGCTAAATGTTGAGTTTGTAGAGAGAAGTCAGGAATAAAAAGACTGGAAAAGTGGAAAGGGAGGTTGGGGCCAGCGTGTGAAGGGTTTTAAAGGCCAATAGAGAAGTTTATAATTGATCGTGGAGGTAATTGATTGGGAGCTACTGAAGCTCCTTGACTGTGTGTGTGTGTGTGTGTGTGTGTGTGTGTGTGTGTGTGTGGGTGATGTGGTCATACCTACTCTTTAGAAAAATCAGCTTGGCATTTGCATAGAGGATCAATTGGGGAGGGGAGAGACTTGGGGCACAGAGAAACATTAGGAGGCTATTGCAATAGTCTAGGAAAGAGGGGACGGAGGCCTAAATGGAGATGTGGCTGTGAAAGGTGGAAATCTACCCAATGCCTATGTCTGACTTTGCTGATTACCCCCAGCCTCCTTACTGCAGTCCTGCCAACCCCAATCCTGCTAGCAGAAGATGTTGTTCCTGCTGGGGAAGGAATACTTTGCCTCAGCATTCATTCCCCCTTGCCACTCTGGCAGGGGAACGGTGACCATCTGCCCAGGACCCCCTGCCCTCTTAAAAGCAGATGGTTGTAGAAGAGATACCAGATAACACAAGAGGAACAGAAGCACACGTGTACCCCTTTGCGGTTGCGGAGGTGGGGTAAAGAGATGGAAGCCCAAGCACAGGCTGATAACCAAAAAAACAAACAAACCCAAAAACAACAACAGAAAGAGCAGGCTCTGTGGGGGGTCATGGGAGAGGCAATCTGTCTGGATACCCGGCATGAGAGTTAGTCAGATCCAGTCTAGCCAGATGGGCAGAGCCAGGGCAGTGTAAAGGACTGCAAATATCACTGGATTTGGAGTCAGAGAAAACTGGGTTCTAATCCTTGCACTGTTAACTACTTGTACAACCGAGGCCAAGTTATACTCTCTCTGTGCTTGAGTTTTCCAATCTGTCAAAGGAAAGGGGCTGTTTTTGATAATCTCTAACGTTCCTTCCTGCTCTGAATTCTATGATCTTATGACTTCTCCAGCTGCATACAGAGATGGTGAAAACATCTTGGGATTAAGGCAACAACACAGTCTAGCTGGGAATCCAGCTCCTAGGTAAATAGTCAAAGGACAGGTGACTGACGGCTTATTCATTGTGGTCTGGGGGAACACAGGGAGGGAGGATTGGGAAATGGACAGAAACTCCAATCCAATCATTGTGCTGATCCTAGAACAAACCACATTTTACTGAAGGCCCCGGGAAGCAGAGCTGGGCAATGGTGAATGCCCCCAACCCCCTAAAATGGAATGAAGAGTTGATCTGGATGGGGCCTCCATCCGGTCATGCTGACAGATCAGGAGAAGTGAATGGGTAAGAGGCCAATATAGAAGCAACAGAACCAGGAGACAATCTCCCACTGGGGCTACCGAAAGAACCGATGGATGGAGGGCGGGGGAGGCATGAAGACTGCCGTTCTTAGGAACCGCTCTCTGCAGAAACCAAGAGTGGAGAGCCTGGGGGTGGCGGGGAGGAGGCTGAAAGATCCAAGCTGTCAGTTCTGAAGATAAGAATAGCGAGAGAAGGCAGGAGGACCAGAGGGGGATCCTTTGGGTCATCTCCACCTCCCCATTCTCTTCTCCAGACCAGCTTTTTGCCTTGTAAGTCAAAACAGCTGCGGCCACATGCTTCCCATCCCAGAGAGAACAACAAACAATTAAGGGAAGAGAAGGAGGGGAAATGTCCCTCGGGAGCAAATAGAAAAGACGGGATTGACTGACACTGAGCCCAATAGAGAAAAATCTGAGTTTATCAGAGGCGCAGTGATAGACTTCCTTTAGCTCTTGGCTGGGATCCCAGAATATGCTCTTCAGGGAAAGAAGGACTTGGCTCTACCATAGCGACTAGTCTCTCCTATTGGCTCTCGTTTCAGTTAGGAAACTGAGGCCTGGCTCAGCGAAAGAAGAAAGGCTGTTCTTTGAAATGGCTTTCTTTCTGTTGAACGCACCACAATTCTTCTCATCACCCAGTTTCGCTACCTTTGAATCATCTTTGACTCTTCACTCTCCTCCCCACCCCCATATCCAGTCAAGAGCCAAGTCTTGTCAAGTCTATCTTCCAACATCTCTCAAATATATCCCCTTTTCTCCATTCCCATAACCGCACCTTAGTTCAGTCCTTTATCATCTCTCTCCTGTTGCAATAACCTCCTACCCGGTCACTCGGCCTCAACATCTCTCCCCTTTCCCGTCCATCCTCCACCCAATAGCTAAGTGGATGCTCTTAAAGGACCTCTCTGACCATGTCACTTCCTGCTCAAGAAGCTGCAGTCATAGCTCCTATTATTTCCAGGATTTACTTCTATGATCAGAAATAATCTCCTCAGTTTGACATTTGACAACATCTACACTAACTCTGGCCTACCTTTCCAGGCTGACTATACCTTACTTCCTCTCATACACTCAATGCTCCTGTCAAACTTGCCTCTTGTGGTCCCCCATCTCAAATATTCTATCTTCCATCTCTGTGCCTCTGTACAGGCCTTTCCCTGTATCTAGATGCTCCCCCTCCTCATCTCTGCCTCTGGCAACCCCTCACTCCCTTCAAGACTCAGTTTAATTGCTGCCTCCTTCAAGAGGCATTATCACAGGCAACATGGCAGTGGAAAGAGTGTTGGAATTAGAATCCTGGGACCAGAGTTCAAATGTTCGCTCTGCTACGTACGACGCTACGACCTTGAGCAAATCACGTCTCTCTTCATTTTCTCACCCGTAAAATGAGGGGATTGTACTAGATGACCCCTGAGGTCCCTTCCTGTTTTAGATCTATGATTCTACAATCTACACTAGCATGAAGAGGACTTTCCTTATTCTCTCAGTCATTAGTCTCCCACCAAAAATAAACAAAATCCCACCACACACTAGGTATAGATCTTGTATTCTGTGAATCTATGATTACTCTCACCCTCCCACAGTAGAAAGTAAGCTCCTTGAAGGTAGGGGCCTTTTCACTTTTGTATTTGCATCTCTAGTGCCTCATACAGTGTAGCCTCTTAGTAGATGCTGATCGACTGATCGCCACTCATCAGAGGAGGGCAGTGACCCAGAGTGCTGTGGGGTAAATGGCCTCTCCCAGTGTCTCCACACTTGGCCTAGTGACCCGGTAATTTGCTGGGTCTGACTTGGGGAAGGCATCTCCCTCAGCCAGAGGCCTTCTCAGTTTGGTGGCAATGAACCCTGTTTAGGAATAAAGCAATAGATGTGGGGTTAAACAGTTTTCTAAAAATTATATGAAGGTCAGAGGCAAATGGAAACTCCTTTCGGGTTTCCCTCCCATCTGAACATGATCTCAGAGTTGTGGCCAAGAGCTTCATTCTGAAGAATCTTCTAAAATATAATTGATCCCAACTAGAGGCAACAGTATAATGTGACTGCTTAAAAGGCTAATGGCACTTTAGGCTTCATAATAACAAAACAGTTATCGTTTATATAGCTCCCACTATGTGCCAGGCACTGTGCTAAGTGCTTTACAATTAAATGTGATCAGATCTAATTTGATCCTCACAACAACCCTGGGAGATAGGTACTATTATCATCTCCACTTTACAGATGAGGAAACTGAGGCAAACAGAAATTAAGTGACTTGCCCAGGGTCACCTAGAGAGTCAGTGTCTGAGGCCAAATTTGAATTCAGTCTACAGCGCTCTATCCACTGGGCCACACAGCTAGCTGCCTGATGTGCTTGAAGAGAGGCATATGAGGGTGACAGTCCTTGATGTACGCTGTGCTGGTCACAACACATCTGGGATGCTGCATTCGGTACATCCATGCCTGAGTGGCACATTTTATGCAGGACGCTTAGAAATTGGAATCTCTCATGAAAAGCATGCTTGAAACCACATGTTATCAGGAGCAATTATAGGTTTAAAGCTGTTAGGGTCATGAGAGGTCATCAAGTACAACATCCTCATTTTACAGATTGGGAAACTGAGCCCTAAAGAGTTTTAGTGATTCAGCCAAGATCAAACAGCTAGTATGTACCTGGAGTAGAATCTGAATCCAGGTCTTTTTGACTCTAAGTGCAAAGATCTATCCATGATAGACTGGTGGGGGATAGAGATGAGCAGGGGGTTGAGAATATAATCACTGCATTCAAATATTTTAAGGGCTGTCCTTTGGAAGAGGAATTGGACTTATTCCACATATTCTGTCTCATTCCAGAAGATGGAACAATGGATGGAAGTCATAGAAAGGTAGTTTTTGGCTCAATATAGGGAAGAAGTTCTAGACTTTTAGAAACAGAATAGACTGCCTTGTAAAGCATCAAGTTTACATCAGTGGATGGAATGCTTAATAGATGGAGATGCTTAAGCAAAGACTAGATGACCACCTGCCAGGGATGGAATAGGAGACATACATTCTTTCTTTTTTTTTTTTTGGCAATTGGGGTTAAGTGACTTGCCCAGGGTCACACAGCTAGTAAG